ACATACACACTGAGCTCGTCTGCGCTGGAAATCTGAATTCCCACATGTCCCAGTCCAAATGTCCTTGAGTGCCACCATGATGCTCATGGCTTCAAGGGGACCGGGTCATAATCAAAATACAGGTACACCTACAATATGTAAAACCACTATCAGTGTGTGTCTATAAGACATGTGCTAGACAGAAATGAATTTCATATTGTGATTCAGCTTCTCTTCTATGATATATCCTATCATGTATGTGCAAATACTTCTAAATCTGAAAAAAAAATTGAAACCTGAAAACTTCTGGCCCAAAGAACCTCAATCTGTACAGGTTCTGTAGGTTGAACACATGGAACTAATTCTCTCTCAATCATTCAAGAACAGGGACTTCAAGACAGGCTCAGATGTAAGCCTGTGGTTTATCCAGCGTCCTTCTCTTCCTGCTTTTCTGTCTGACACTGCTGGAGCAAGGCATTGATACTTCCATTAATACTGAGAAAAGACTGAACACGGTCATCCCAGTTCTTTCTCTCCCTCTCCCCCTTTCCTTGCTTCTCATTTCCAATTTTACCAGAGTCAGGGGGCCCACACCACTAAGTTTTATTAAAAGAAAAACTCTCTCAGTCTGTGGGTCTACTTAACACTAATCTATTCATCCATAGACTCTACCTCTTTGTCACACAGAGGGGTGACTTGTATCTGTGGAAAAATGCCCTGGCCTCAAATACAAACAAGAGAGCTTGGCAGGCCAAGCACCCTGGCCAGATACTCTCTAGTCCCACTAGGACACCACAGTAGGACCCTGCAGAGGCAGCGGGCTATGCTGGGTAATGGAATGCAAAATGATGCAGCTCTCCCCTTGATTCCCTGGGCCTCTGGATTCCTGGCTCTGCCACAGCCCAGGCAAGTGGTTTGGGAATTGTGGGGAAATGGGTGGAGAGATGGGGTGGAGGCTTCCTCTAAGCCAACCACAACTAACTCTTTGACTCTGTCCAACAAAGCCCAGACAGTACGATTATCTGGCTAATCTGACCCTTCATGGAGAGGCCAGCTTAGACTAAACAGTGGCTTCCATCCTAAAGCTTCTCTCGAGTGCCGGAGGATGAGTGTGAAGTTTCAGGGGGTTCAGATTGCTTATGTGACCCACCCATGGATCCAGTTGGGCCAAAGACAAGTCATTCAGACTTCAAGGAGAGTTTGAGAAGGAATGTCTTCCAGGGACAAATGCCCAAATGACATGCTAGTTGGTTTCCTGACTAATTTACTTTCTGGTTTTCCATGGCTGGAAATGAGAATGACTAAATCAGCCAACATTTTCCAGTACAAGTGCAGCCCCCACAGACTCCTGAAGTGTTACCATCATCTCTGTATGGGGGTATGGCAGGTGTCCCTCCCAGCAAACAGATCTGGTACCTGCCACTTGGGCTGAATGCAGAGCTAAGATACCAGAGGGAAATGAAAGCATGCCTTGGGGTTACCACAAAGGAGATGAAGTATGTCCAGCTTGGTTGGCAACGGAACATTTGCCAGATGGTTTACAGAAAACTGAGATTTGGGAAGAGAGATTAAAAAGCAGGGATTTATCACTCTTGGAAACGGATCTGCCAGGATCTGCGGAATCTGTCGGTTATTCCCTCTGCAAACATTTCCTTCCGTTCTAGTTTGTGCTGAGACCTGTGCTACTTAACAGAGGAGATCTGGTCATGGCCCCTTGCTGCAGGCAAATAACCCCACCCTAAATATATTGATGAGAAGGAAGGAGGGAGGTGCTGTGAAAGGACCCCTGAGTTCCTGATTTGGACAGGGCTCAGGGAGGGAGTCTCTGAGGAAGCCATTGTTAATTAAGCCAAGTCATTAAAGGGCCCAACTTGCTCTTCTGAGAGATCACTCTAGGGATAGTGAGATGGTTCAGTGGGCAAAAGTGCCTGTAGTGTAAGTGTAGGGTCCTAAGTTTAGATCCTTAGAACCCACACTAAGCTGGGAGCAGCTGCAAACATCTGTGTTCTCAGTGCTGTTAAGGAGGAGAGCTAGACCCAAGGAGCTCCAGAGACTCCCTGGACAACTAGCATAGCAGCAAAAAAAGAGCCCCTTTCTCACACAAGAGGGAAGGTGAGGCCCAACTCCTGAAGTGGTCCTCTGACCACCACATACCTGCATGGTACACAGGCTCCTGTATCACCATCACCACACACAGAGACACACAGACACACCCCAAAGACAGATCATCCCATCCTGGTTTTGGCATGAAGAATAAAATGGAGATTGGTAAACAAATAGAGCTATATGGTTGCCGATCAAAAGTCTGGATGAGAGCTGGAGGCCATCCAGCCAAGGTAGCATCTTGACAATTAGCAGTGGAGGAAGTAGGGAATCATGAGATATGGAGTCAAGAGGACATGGCAGAAGGTAGGTATGGTGGCAGAGGGAGGATGCACAGGCTTGCAGCTAAGGTGGAAGGTCCAGGTTGCACTCTGTTGAGAGGAGGTAGGGGGAGACAGTGAGTTCTGTACTGGAGTCAAACAGTGGGACTGGTGTCTCACCTCGCACTGGCCAAACTCCTCTGCCCTCAGACCCTCAACCTCACATGCTTCCCATGCCACCGGCTCCACTTATTAAGAACCCATCTACTCTTCAATCCAACTCAAACAGCACTCAGTCCTCAAAGCCATTTCTGTTTATGGACGGGACCACTGCTTCCTTAGTGTTCCCCACATGGAGCTAGCCAGCATAGCAGACGCTGACAAATATTTGCAAAATGAACAAAAATAGCCCGCGTTTTTGCCATGGAAGGAAAATTAGTAGACACTGGACTGACTTAAAAGCCACTGGATCATACTGAAGTTCAAACTGTAGGTGTTTTAATATGAAGCCAACTCCATCAATTTGATGCTCAATAGTTCACTCCCTTCTTCTGACTCACAGGGAAAAAATAGTGCAGGGAGCGAGACTGGGGAGAGAGGCCATTTCTGTTCCTGAGTTCCAAATGGAATTTCTTCCAGTCAGTTTTGTTCTTATTCACTGAAGGATGATGAGAAGAAGAGGAAGAGGAAGGGTTGTGGTAGAATGGAGTATGGTGGGGGGGGGGGGTGTAGGAGAGGGGGAGGAAAGGGAGATTTACTAACAACCACAACCACTCATAGCAAAAGAAACAGCAAGTGGACAGATGGGATGAGGGAAGGCTGGGAGAAGAAACAGGACAGAGAGGGAAGAAGAGAAAGGGAGAAAAATGAGAGGAAAAGGAGACAGAAAAGGAGGAGAAGAGGAAAAAGAAACACTTGTGATGTCCTGTCACTAACTCGTGAGTCCTCCTGGCCACCCCACTGTCACAAATTGATGCTACTATTACCCAAGAGCACAGATAAAGAACTGGAGAGGGCCCAAGTATTGCTCAGCCAGGACAACTAATTTAAGAGGTGGAACTGGGATTTGAACCTGGAATCTGACTCCAGAGCCCTTTCTCTGATGTGCTCTCCTAAGGTTGAGTATGGTACTCCTTCCTATAAAGGAGGGTCTCAGTTTATTGATTGTGGAGTCCCTGGTCAGAAACCAGGAGGAATGGAGTTAAGTTCTGATTTCCTTTGCAGTCTGACCTAGTCCATGTTTCTTTCTACATAAAACAAGGGACATGGATATTGATAACAGAAGTAATAATGAGAGATGGTATTCTCAATTCTGGTCTCTTTTGATGTTTCAAATAACTGCATCCCAGTTACAATAATACAAGAAAAGGACAGCACAGAGAGCGCAAATCACCTGCTTAACACCTAGAAACAAAGGGTCAATATTTAAACATGTGCTCTTCCACTATGGTGGTATGAATGAGAATGTCCCCATAGGCACATATATTTGGATATTTGGTCTCTGCTTGGTGGGATTATTTGAGAAAGATAAGGAGGTGTGACCTTGTTGGAGGAGATGCATCACTGGAGGTAGAATTTGAGTTTTTTAAAGACTCTCCATCCTCAGTGTGTCTCCCTCTGCCTCCCACTTGAAGACCATGATGTGAGCTCTCAGATGTTCCTGCCACCATGCTTTTACTCTACCATCACAGACTCCAGCCTTCTGAAATCCTAAACCTAATGAAATGTTTTCTATTATGAGTTGTCCTGGTCATGATACTTCATCACAGTAATATAAAAGTAACTAACATATCCACTATACTCCATAGTCAAAGTCAAAGGAGATGCCCTGGAGTCATGGGTCACAGATGGGACACATAGCTTCCCATCTGAGCAGCTACACTTGTCTCAGTTTTGTAGCATGGACTCCTTTTGATAGTTCTTTGAAGAACAGTTATCTATCTGTGATGGCTGTTCTTGGCTGTCACCTTGACTACATCTGGAATTAACTAAAACCCAAGCTGCCAAGTATACCCGTGAAGGATTTTTTCTTAATTAAATCATTTGAAGTGGGAAGACCCATCTATTATCCAGATCTTTGAGGTGGGAAGATCCAACTTTAATCTGGGCCACACCTTCTGCTGGCAGGCTACATTAAGGATGTGGACGAAGGTTGCTTGCTCTTTGCCTACTTGTTCTCAATCTCTCTGGAAAATCTATTCCCTTACTGGCATTGGAGCCTACTTCTTTGGAATTCTGGCATATTTTGAAGACCAGTTGAGACATTTAGTCTAGCACATGGAACTGGAGTCTTAGAACTTCTATTGGTAGACAGTCACTGTTGAACTTCGTGGACCACAGACTGTAAGTCACTCATGTGTGTGTGTGTGTGTGTGTGTGTGTGTACATAAATATATGTATATATGTTTACACTTACATATAAACTTATATAGTACATATATACTATCAATTCTGTTCCTTTAGAGAACCCTGACTACCTAAACCAAAAGGTTGAAAACTTAGTGGACCAGAAAATTCTGGAACTTAATGAGACTCCTAAGTAAAACCCAGGATTCTTCTGGCAATCTTTGTTCACTATGACCAAGGTTGCTCTTGGAAATGGCCACTGTTCAGAGAAAGGCAGCTGTGTGAAGAGCTAGGAAAGGGGCCACCACTTACCTGCTCCACTCGGATCTCAATGTCGCCATTCACTTTCTTCCCGTGGAAATACTTTGACCTGCAAGGAAACCAAGAGACCTGCTCAGTAAGGGTCCATTGTCCTTTCCTCCATTTCCCAAAGACCCTAAAGGTGGAAGTCAAAACAGTCTCAACCTGCCACTGTCCTCCCCTGACAACCCACTGCCTTGGTATTTAGAGATAGAACGGTGAAGGAGAGGAGAGTGGATGGGAAGAGAGGAGACTCGACCTCCTGTACCTCAACTGCAGCCTCTAAAATGAAGCCATGCTCCCAGCTTCTAGAATGATTTGAAAGACTCGACGAGACAAGGAGAACATAAACAGTGCAGTATTGATTTGATGCTATTTTATTAAATTGTACATATGTACTACCTCAAGGACTTATTGATCTGTTCCCTCATGTCTGTATCATATTCTAAATATCAACCACTAATTCTTTCATCCACTCACCCATCCTTCCATGACTCTAATCCACAAAGCTAATTATCACCATGAACTATTGATCAAGGCCAAAGAGTAGATAGCATTCTTATGACCTCACCCTTCCTTTCCATGCTGACCCTCCAACCTTATTCTCAATCCTTCTACTTGTCCACTTTCCTTTGTAAGCACCCTACTCCTGACCATAGTTCTTCTCCCTTCTGACATGGACTGTCTTTCCTACTGCTGATTACAAGTATAATTAACATCAGTAACGGTGCTTAATGTCTGCATCCCCCTGAATGACAGTAGGAATTCCTCAAGTCTGTGACTCATCATTTTATCCGTAACACCACCAGAATGTGCAGCACACCACAGGAATGCAATTGATTATCTGTTGAATTAATAAATAAATGAATGAATGTAGGGTTTAATCTGTGGTCTTTGTCATTTAATGTGGACAACTGCCATCATGAAGCAGGCAGTTTTATTTCTGTTCTATCAAGGAGGGAACTCAAAAGGCAGAGACTAAACACTTGCGCATTCTAAGGGGGATCTGCACCCAGGCCTTCATCCCTGTGTCTGTGCTTTCACTCAACCCTGCAAGAGTCAGGATGGAAGGGTGCTTGGGGGTTAGATATCTTTCCATGTGAAATGCGAAAGACCCAGTTTGCATCCCCATTTCCCACTGCTGTTGCAATGAAACAGATGCTTGAGACACTACATTAAACATGTCTACAAACCTTCTTAGGGCTGGAGGCAGCACTTTTCTTCCTCCTAACTCATTCTCTCCTTTTTTTCACAGCAGAAATGTTTATAGATTAGATAAACATTTATCTAATGTGGTCCCAACACTCCCCCAAGTAAGGTATGGCCACATGACCTCGTTCTAATCAATAACTTGAAAGTATTACATTCCAGAACGTTCTCTTAAGTTTCTTCATTCTATTCTCTCCCCTGGAGCAGGGATGTTGCTATTTTCTCAATCTTTGTTTGTGAAAGAATCCTTTCTACAAACTCTTAGACTGCCCAACTCTGTCTGTCTTCACAGCCCCCATCAATGTTCAGCCAATGCCAAGTCCCCAAAACGTCCTGCATCCTTTGCTGACAGCTTTGATGCTAGTGTCACTTCTTCTTACAGTGTAGACAGACTAAGATGTCACTGAGGCTGGGCTTTTGTGGAAGAGGAATGGTTGGTATGACCTGAAAGTGAGGGAGGTAGGCCTGTCTGTCTTCCTTTCCCTTCCTTTTGTTTTTTTTTTTTTGTCTGTCTGTTGTTCTGTCTGCCTGCCTGTCTTTTTCTTTCTTTCCCATTGACGTTCTTCAATAAAATGTGTGTTTAGCTAGCCTCCCACAATGCAGAATTTTATCACAAATCCTCAACAAGAGGAGTCATCGCATTCCATTCCACCTCCAGTATTTGTGGGGCCTGGAGAAAACAACAAATGGTCTATGAGGCGCATGACTAATATTTAAAGTTGATGAATATTCTAATTTCAGTTCTGGGGCTGTCGTACGAGATCTTACCAGAAGCAACTCAGAGATGAAAGGGTTTTTTGGCTTACAATTCCATGTTAACAGGCCATAATTTGGGGTAAGGTAACACATAAACGCAAGTAGTCATTGCACACCCATGGTTAAGGGTAAAAAGAAGATAAAGTCAACCTTGCCTGCTTGTCTTCAGCTAGCTTTATTTTGTAGGGAATGATGTTTTTCACAATTGACTAGATTTTCCCAACAATTAGGGCAATCATCTACAGACGTGTCCACAGGCCAATGTTACCTAATCTGTCCCTGTTTAATGCCTCAAGCAATTCTACATTGTGGCAAGATGACACTTAATACTAGTATGATGAGTAAAGTTAACAGTTGTCTAAATAAACTATCTGCATTCCTTCTTTGAGGACTACAACTCATAAGGTCGTATTGTTCTACCCAGACTATGGCAGCATCGCAATGGCCAGCTCTTGGTCCTCAGTCCTAATTCATATTCTTCCCTAGTTTCCCAGTTCCTCTCCACTCTGCCCCATAACCCTGCAGATTCTGGTGTTCTCTCCTTAATACTTGACCGTCTCATCAGCCCCAAGAGGGGATGAGGCAGGTTCACTCCCTGCATCTTGCACACAGAGAACTCACCTTTCAAAATCTCACAACTTTTCCAGTTGTCCCATAGTTTCAAATTTTCAGGATTCAACCCAGAGCCCCAAGTTCCATCCCAATGGGGACCCAGGCACCAGTTGGTCCACTTTCTCCATGCATTGTTTCATGGCTGGTTCCATGAACACAAACACACACACACACACACACACACACACACACACACACACACACACATCTCCTGTGATGCTTCAAAATGTCCTCTGCTTTTATGTTTCTGGCCTTTTGCATAGACTCACATCTCTGTTTTCCAGACCACTCCTCACCTTCTAGAGTCCTCACTTGCGATATCTGTTCTTTTGTTTTCTTTAGTAGACCTGGGCTGGGTGTCTCTCTTCAGCCACTGGGCACACTGAACTCTCAACCCTTATGGTACCATTCTGCCTTGTAATTCTACATTACAATCTGTCCCCTGCCTCCAGGCATCCCGTCTGTGAGCTCCTAGAAACCAGAAGCTCTGTCTCAATATTCATTCATTGCATGGAACATCACAAGCATGACAGGGCTCAGGACTGTGCTTCCCACTTTAGCCAGGTTAGCGAATGTTTCCCTTTTTCATGCGTTCCTTCTTTGTGACCTTTTATTGCCACCTACTGGCAAATCACTGTAATAACTCACACATCTACAACTTTGATGCTACGGGTCATTGTGTGGATACCCAACCTGCAGGACTGACCGCCTCGGACTTGATTCCAACCTAGAACCCTGCATTACATGCCACCCAAGCAGCGCTGGCCTCAGAGAGGCCTCACCTTCCCAGGAGTCTTTGGAATGTTGACTGCTGCGGCTGGCAGGCGGTCTCAGACTGGGGTGAGGGTCAGGCAGTCCGTCCCCTGCCTGGCTGGGAGTCAGAAGTCTGTCTCCTGATGGGCCACACAGACTGCTGCCTCCTTGCCGGGGGTGTGTGTGAGGGGTGGGGGTGGAAGGGTGGGCCCATTCAGGCTGGAGTTGCCTCAGAACAGCTCTGTCTGGCAGAGGGAAGGGGAGGGATGGCCCAGAATTCTAGATGCCTTGGGGGTGGAGCCCACTGCCTCTGCTGTTGACTGGCTGTTTGACCTTAGGCAGAAACAGATGGATCCATGTTACCCATTGGCTTTGTCTCCCACAAGCAGCCTCAATCCCACTGCCCTAATATGTCCATCCTCATAGCTCCTTGAATAACTCAGCCAATCAGTCAAGTCCGTGGTCCTGCCCTATGAAAGGGGTGGGAACTCTGGATTCCAGGAGGCTTCTGTCTCTGTGGGTGGCCTCATCTTTTACTGCCACATTAAAGGCACCAGGAAGGAGAATATTATAAACTGGGGCTGCCTGGGGTGGGAAATCCCTAGCTTGAGGCCCCGGTATGTGGTGGTGTGTGAGAGAGATTTATGAGGAGTGGGCACGGCATTCTTTTCCTGCTGCAGTCAGGGAATGAGCACAGATGGGATCTACCTGTGTCAGAGCAGGGTGCTCTGACAGACCCATCAGCCTGTGAAGCCCGTGAGGCGAGGTCACTTCTCTTACTTGAGCCCAGAGCTTGAGGATTCCTCTAGTCCAGCTAGCCAGCCGGGATCCTCCTCCAGCCTCCCTCAGTCTGGGATGCAGGAAGGGGCACCATGGCCACTCGTTTACTAGAGCATTGATGATTTAAATACTAGGGCTCTTACTTGTGCAGCAAGTTCTTTGCCCAGTGAGCCATGCCCATGGCCCCAGGAGGCCTTCTTTGCATTATTCTATAGTGATGGGCCATCTGCTCTGTGCAGAGTCTTTAAACATGAAGACCACAGGGATTACTGCCTCCTAGGAGGGTGTGACACACAGATAGGTGATAACCAGTTGCCATCAGCACAGGGATCCTGCTTGGTCCATAGAGGAGACACTCAGCCCAGCACTGGGTGGGAAGCAGGGAGAAACTAGTAAGGGCAACCATGCTGGGCAAGCACTGGGACACTACAGGGTAGAACTGGGGTACTGGGGTACCTCACATCTTCCTGAGGCACACACTTTTAAGTATGAAAGAAAAATGAGCAGTAGACACACAGAGAAAGACCTGGTTTTGGGGTGGGGCAGGATTTCTGATACCTGCTGTAGATGTTTTGGGACCACCTCTGCCTCCTCCTCTGAATAATGAGGATTTAAAAGATCAGTTCTAAAGTTGCAAAGAGGATTTACATTAGGACACAGATGCGAAGGCATGTGGGAGGCTGCCAAGACTGGGCCAGCAAGTTGCTTACCAGTGGTTGCTGCTGAGGGGGGGCGGGATAGGTAAGGCTTCACCTTGCTGGGAAAGAAAGTAGAAAGGGCCTGTTGGCTTTAGAGACTGACAGGTCCTGTGTAGCTCTGCTATTTATAACCTGATGCTACTTCAAGCAAACAACCACCCCCAAAGTACTAGTTTTCTCATTGGTAAAAACAATTAGGACAAAAATTACTACATCTGCCACCTGAGCAAGAATGCCTAAAGAATATTCTTGGTATATAGCA